ATTTTTTTTTATATGAGAAATTTAAATTTTACGTTCATCTAAAAAATAAAAATTATTAAATATAGAATTAAAAATGTTAAAAGAAACCTATGCTGCTATATTTGATATAAATAATATAAATAATATAACAATTAAGATTTGTTATAAAAAACTAATTTTATTAAAACTTATAATATAAAATAATTCTTTTAAATTTTATTTTTAATTTTTTAAATTTAGAATTTATCATCAAATATAATGAAATCTGATAAACTACAACTACATATTAATGATAAATATATTATAGCTTTTAGAATAATATCAAAAAATAAAATAAAGTTTAGAAATAAGTATTTTGTATTATTAAGTATATATTTATAACTATCATTATAATTATAATTTATAATTTAATTAATAACTTTTATTTTTATTTTAGATTAATATTATTACAGAGAACTCTTGATATAACGAATTCTAGGATCTGGATATCAACTTCATTATAAGCTTATAACGAATTTTTTAAAGAATTTAATTGGCTAGTTAGTAAAGGTAATTTTAATATATTTGATTTAAAAATTCGCTATATCAAGGGTTCGCTATATCAAGGTTTGGCTGTACTAATAAAATTGCTTATTATCATAATGTTTCTTGAATACTTAAAATTAAGGAAATATATAATGCAGTAGAATATTATATTATAAAGAACAAAATTATAGGTTTATATATGTATGTAAATTTAATTATAATATAGATAATTATGAACAAATATATTTTTAAGCATTTTAGTAATTATTAATTTTTGAAGTTATTGGAATTAATAAATACGTAAGATTTTTTAACATAAATAATAACAAATTTATTTTAGATAGAGAAATGTAAAATTCATTTTATTAATATTAATAAAGTAAATTTATAAGAAATAATAATAATCTTCATTAAAAAATTTATTTATTTAAAATAATTTCTTTATTATTCTTAAAAAATAATGCATTATCATTCCTTTAAAATAATTATATTTATATCATTATTCAAAATAATATATATTCAATTTAATATAATAATTTTTGATATCATTTTTAAAGATTGATTCATTATTGTTGTATCAAAAATATTTATCTTTATTGTTCTTAAAGAATAATCTATCATTATTATAATTTATTTTCTACACATATTCTATGTATTTTAAATTTGACACAATATAGCTTATATTTTACTAATGAAGACTGATGAAGATTTTATTTAAATTCTTTATTTAAATGATAATATAAGTGGTGATTTATTAAAATTGAGGTACAAATCATATGATTTACTATGTCTCGTACCTCAATTTTAATAGCATATTACCCATATATTATATATGGGTTATTACATACGAAAATTAGCAATATTGTATAAAAGGTATAATAAGATCAGCTCTACCTTGATATCATTTTTATAATATAGCTTTAAATAAATGAATATCTTGAGTAATCTCATTTTATATAAGTATAAAATCATTATATTATTAATTAAATCATCCTGTATTTGTAAATACCTTATATAATTATTAAATAAGCTCATAGTATATTGTGTTGTAAATAATAAGCATTAATATTTTGACTTTATAAGTCAATTAAAATATTGCTTAATCCTAAATCCTTATAATAATCAGATGAGTTACAAATTCATTATAGGATCCTAGTTCTACATAACTATTTTGTAATGCAAACTGTAACAATAACTTTGATAGAGTAAATAGTTATCATGAAGTGTTGTCTAACCAATGGTTATAGGAATGTGAAACTCTTGCATTGTCTTCTTAAATCAATTAAACCTTAATTCTGAAAACTAAAGTAATAACAATTGGTATTTTCTTTGCAATATTTATATTTGCTATACCACTTTATCCAAAAGGAAACTCATCATTTTTTAATGATCAAAGTGACCTTTTGGACATAGTTCATAAAAAATCACTTCCATTGGGAACTTGGATGCATCTTTATAAATACTTATTGTATCTTTTAAATAATGATAATTATATTTTAAATTATAATTATACTTCTGCAATTAGAATGTTAATATTGTGAAATTTTAATTTTTATTTAGTTATAACTAAGGTTGTTAGACGAAATCAAGAGTTTAGACAGACGTCTAAATGGTAAAAATAATACTTAGTTAAATTATATTAAAACCTTATTAAAAAAATTGCGAAATTGGAAAAAGGTAAAATTATATCAAAGCTTATAAAAATGGCAAAACTATATTAAACACTTAGTAAAAATTTAGTGAAACTAAAGGTTTAACTGTTTTGCCAAATCCAAAATGAGTTTAGACAAGCAACCTTAGTTATGGTAAATTTTTTATGGTCTAAATAATTAGGAAATTTTAAATTTGAATAAATTAGTACAACCAAATTCTACTTAGAGATTCAATTAATTGTATATAAATTATGTGATATAAAAAATTTTATAATATATGGAGCTGATCTATTAAGAATGAATTACAGAAATCTTTCAACAAAAATGAGATTTTTGATTCATATTATAGTATGTTAAATGAATTTTATTTGGTTAAATTTTTAGAAGCTATTAGCTTATTAATAAAACAAGTAATTTGGCTGACAAAAACTGTTGTATATATATGGTGGCTGTCACCTATAACCACTTATTTATATTGTATAACTTAATTTTTTTAGATTACATAGAATTTATGGATTTCTATGGAATTTTTGGAATTTTTGCAAAATCTATTAAAATTCCATAAAATTACAAAATAAGCCGATAGAAATGCGCAGAACATGTTGATCTATCATTTTATCATTTTATCAGTTTAAATTTTCTTTATTACTTAGTTTATAATTTATAAAAGTTTAAATTACATAATATTATTGTTGTTTGTAGATGGCAGCCACCATACGAATTTCTTTTAATTTTAAAATATTGATAGTTTATTGCAATATTTTTTTTTGTTATATGATATATCTTTAAATCATTTATATTATTGCATTAGATCTATATAATTTTGGGTACAAAGAAAAAAAATATACTCATCCGAATTCAATATAGATTTTTTGACTAACATAATGGGAGTGATGAATTTGATTAATATCTTACATTTTGCTAACCAACATAATATTTGTAACAATTCACACTAGTTTTAATAACATATTTTTGAACTATTTCAAAATTTTAAAAAAAACCTTCAAGAAACTCATTTCTATTTTTTTATGATAATATAACATGATGATCAAAAATAAGATCATGCATTTGACACACAAAATTGGGATTAATGATGATGCCATGGGGGTCAATAAGGAATAATGGATTCATAAACATCAATTTTACGTATAATACAAGTAATCAACACTTTACCTTAAAATTGCATAAATGGTTCAAATTCACTATTTAATCTTTTGACAGCTTTAAAAAATCTATTATGTTGAGAAATTATATTATTCTAGAAAATTTGAAAATTTTATCAATAATCTCAAATAATCTTTTCAAATTGTTAAATTGAATTTTCTTTTGAAATAAACTTTTATTTTAGCTGTATGAATAATTAAATCCCTCACGGCTATATCAGCTTTTTCGACTTTATCTAATAAACTTATCTTTTCTAATTCATTATTACTTCTGTTATAATGGTTGCAAATGTCGACAAAAATTAATTACTATTAGGAATAACTATATAATATACTATAATAATATCATTAGTTATGTTTCAATAGTGATTGGACTCGTAATCTCGTGATTCGAATAATATAAATCGAGTGGGTAATTTTTAACTCGCGAATCAATTAATAGTTAATAAGTTAATCAAAATTGTTATATTTTATAAGGTTTTAATAAACTTGCAATTATATCAAAATGCATATCTTATTTTTATCTCATTCTCTATAAAGAGTCGGTTTATTTATGGAATCCATTAGTAAACTAAAGAAGCCAAATTTCATTCAAAAATGATCTCGAATCTCAAAATAACGTTCAAATTCAATCACAAATAATAGTGGTGAAATGTGGTAGATGATTACAATTACGTCAAACTCAGGATGTCGTACTCTTAAGAGCATCGTTTATAACTTTTTTCAGAAATATGACTTCAACTTGTAATGTTTTATTGGAAAATTGCGAAAATGTAGAGTTTCAAAATTATTCGTCTAGATCTAATAATATATATAATTATTTTAATTTTAAAGTTAGTAATTTAAAAATATTATAATCGTACTTGACAATATTTAACTCAATCTCAAGATTCGCTTCTGAGTTTAAATCATTATTTATTCATTTTGGTGCGGATCATGAGACAATTTGTCATGACGTTCTTTCCTTTTAAGATATAATATAATTAAAACTTTTCTTTAAACATCGCATTGATTTAAAACTTTAGAAAAACAATAGATCGCCATAAGAACGGGTATAATTTTTATTGAAAATTTTAATATCAATTATAAATATTTACTATTTGATGAAGGTTATTTTAATTATAATGGCATGGATTGGTTAACTCAGTACAATATTAGCTACAGAAAGTCGTTCTCGCGGACTACCAATATATTATGATTGAATTTGACTGACTGCTATTTATTTTGACTAAAAAATCATTAGCGGTGAACTTATTCAGCATGACATTTCTCAGCCAAATGTCTGGCTTAAAAAAATAATGTAATTCAATTCTAAAATACAAAACGCAATAAGTGCAAGCATGTTCGTTTATGTTTATAATTTTGTTAGTATTTCTGAAACAAAGTTACACTCATTCCAACCACAAGAAAATAAACATAGCTATGTTACAATAAAAATCATGATCTTTATTAACGAATAATCATTTGATAAAAACCGAATGAACCACAAAAGAAAATACTTTTAATTGATCGAGGTCAGGAGCCCCGTTTAGTATTATGCAAGTATATCGAAATTAAATGCAATAAATGTTGTAATCATTATCAGTTTGAAATGATTGAATGTCGAGTGATTTACTCAAATATCTTATCAATTACATCGGTCATCACATCATACATGTCTGCTATATTTGCGACATCATCATCAAACTCGGGGTCTACTTAAATACAACTCTATCTCTCCTTCAGATCCCTCAGATGGCACTTCCTCAGACGCTACATTACTTACACCATCTACATCGCCTATCTTCACATGTTCCTGGAAATTAATAAATTTTCTTCGATAAGAAAGTGGCGAACCTTCATTTAATTCAAGTGCATGTTTAATAATAATGATCGCAGCATGTCGATCAGCTCGAAACTGCATAATTTTAAAACCATTTTCTCGATTTTCTAGCCAGAAAAAAATCCATTCATCGTCCAAATCAGTAATGACTACGAATACAGCTTCGTTTGAGCGAATATTTGCCATGAAGAGCTGTCCAATGGCTTGAGAAATGTGAGACTCTTGAATTTTCTTCTTCAATTCAAATTCAACTTGAATTCCAGAAGCCAAAGTATGACAATCGGCATTGCTTTTCTTTGCCATAACCACATCTGTCGTCCCGCTTAATCCGAAGGAAGCTCGTCATCATGTAATGCCAAGTGACCATTTGGATTTAGTGTCATAAAAATCGCTTCCATTAGGAACTTGTATGCTTCTCTTTAAATAATTAATGTATCCTTCCTTCATAGAACCATCATTTATAATGTCATTTGCTTGTTGATTTTTATTTCGTGTGTTCCAGTGAATGGTTCTGTGTGTTCGTATCCTAAACTCACATTATAATCATTGATTTCAAATGCAACTATGGGAATTTGGAAGTGATACGATTGCTTCATTGTTGACAGAGATACAGAAGACTTCTTTGTAGTTCCGAAAATTAAACAAATAAGATTGTGAAATATAGAAATTATAGGTAAGAATTACTCAACAAAACTTATTTTACCTTTCAACAACTTTAGAAACTTGTCGCACTATGCAGTTAATGTGACCGTGAGCTTTTCAAACGCTTGTCTAATTGTTTCATTTATTAGAGGACAAAATAAAAAAAATATATTTTTGGTGATCTTGGCAACTTGTTCGCTGTATTCAGGTACATCATTTGCTTCACTTACCGGCAGTAACAGGCAACTGGACAATAATTTGTACATGATCTTCAGCAGGTTGCATTCGAAAGAAATCTCTGACTTTGTTTGAAAGAATAAATTTTCGGCCATTAAGAGTAGTCGCAATGTCTACATTAGGGTCAACTAAGTTTTCTGATTCTAAAGGGACATCAACGATCCATATTTTGAGTTGCCTTATTGCAAATGCATCGAAATTAGGTTCGTTCGTATTCTTAATTATCTCCTTAAGTCCTTGAACAGATCCATCTACTTTTATTTTAACTATGAAACCATTATCTATATGTTCACCGTGAACTAGACAGTTAAGTGTTATCTCAACTTTAATAGGCAAACTAATAGGCCTAACTGACAGATTAGCGGTAGACGAACTAGAGGCAATCGCACGAATGCGAACGATAATAGGCTTCTTAGTAGGAGTAGGCAACTGACTTCGGCTTGTATGACTCATTGTTATGGAAAGACAAGTAAATTAGGGAGGGAGGAAGTCATTTAAAAATTCGTAACTTCGTCATTATTTATTTCCATTTATAGAAATTAAATAATCACGTGATGATATTGTAAAGATGATCGAATTATTCAAAATTACATTTTTTGCCTTCATCGTCACTGGTTATTTCAATCAATTCAACCAATTCATAACCATTGATAACTGCTAAGATGTCGTGATTGAACGCATGATGGAAGTACCTTTAGACATACATATTAACCGTAATGAGTAGGTATTCTTATGACGGAATCAAAAAGTAATAAATCTTTATTAAAGCATCATTGTAAGAACTATCTAATCGAGGTAATAAGTATATTGATGTGAAGATTATAAAGAATAAGAAAATAGCAAATTTATCACGTTATTATTTCACATTTTTTAAATATATTTATTTATAAATCTTGTAAGGACCTTTTCTTTTTATCACAAACGAATTTTTATTCTAAAAATAGCAATAGTTTGTATGGAACTTTGAAAATTTACGTGTACAGATTCTAAAAAAAAATTGCCAATTCCCAAGAATTCATCTCCATGCAATTTCTAAATCCTGATACATTAGAGTTGGAAGCATATATTCATCCGAGGAATGGTGCATCAAATATACAACACATTGGTTAACTTTTCCTGTTATGATTTCCAGGAGACGTTGATTGTTGCTGGACGACTCTAATGGTTGGGCTTTATTACAATTTTATCAATTGATAAAGTTGGTTGAAATATTAGATGAAAAACTTCGCTTGACTCAGATTGTGACTTATCAGGTAGAGATTTTTCTTCTGGAAGAGTATATTTGTCTTTTTTTCTTGGGAATTATTTTTTGAAGGCGAAATTAATCATGTAAAGGTAACATCGTTGTGGACCATTGATAGTGTTGCAAACTCTCCTGATGCAACAAAGGGAAAACAAAAGCAACATTTCGTAAACCAATCATTTATGTATGACAGAAATAAATGTTGGTTGTAATCTTTCTTTCCCATTGTAAGATTGGTTTCTGGAATTTCTTATCCAAGAAAAAATGATCTAAATTCGGGAATGTATCAAGTAAATTACCGAAGAATGAGTAAGTAAATCTTCGAAGACATAATATGATCTTTGAATTCATATTTTTGATAACTTAATTGTTTTGATTTAATTTAGTTAGTTGGAATATTTGAGAACTTACAAAAATAATTAATGAATATTAACGTCAAATTTATATTGTTTAATTTCATCGACTTTCAATTTGCTAAGAACTTTCCGAATTGATCATTAGCAAATTATAGTTATTCAAGTATGCTCGTAATGTGGCACTCCGTTCTTGAAAGGTCTAGAAGAAACTTTTAATTATGATCGATAAAAAATTGAAAAAGAAAATATTTCTAAAGGATATAAAGGTTATTAATTTATAAAAGAATCGTTTACATTGTGATGCTAACATAAAATCTTAAAGGTTGCCTGATCTTTGAAAAAAAAATATTTGTAGATACAGTTTCGATAATGTAATCCCAATTGAAAATCAACCGTTCGTTGGCTGATTCTTTGAATATCTACAACGTTATTTATCAAAATCAATGAATATAATTACCTGTTTATTTAATTTCACCTTTACTAAAAAATATTATTTACGGATCAAAGCGTCGTCATTTGTGATCCATAGATTATCCGGCATCCAGGTACTTTAGGAGATACGCTTAAAGTTTTTATTTCGGAAATTAATTAAATACTATACTACCTCTAAACATGAAGAAGTTTCAAATTTTGTTTTATTAGAATGCATATTAATTAATAATATTTCCTATTTTATATTATTGTTATTTTTAAATAAAATAACAATATTTTTTAAAATAATGTATTATTTATTTCGTGTAAAAAAGCAATTCACAAAAACTTTACTTGTTCGGATACTTTATTAATTTATAGTCTGAGATTAAAATAAAAATTTATCCATGCAACTAAACTAATTGATAAGAACTCATTTAAAGCCAATTCGTCTTACTTATATCTGTTTTGCCAAATTCCATTACCCAAAAATGAAATTACTTTGTTAATCATTAATGTTTAAGTCACGTTTATTAAGCCTTTGGTATGGAAGTAAATCAAAATAATCATTACAAAATGTTAACTTCGGATGTAATTGATACATCTGGACGTGTAGCGTGTAAAATATTTTGTATTTCTATACAGATAACATGGAATCTTCATGAATGTGGATTATACACTTTACTAGTCAATAGGTTAATTGGTTGTCTATCGCAAAGCTTCTTTTGTTTTTAAACAAACAGTACTTCGGAAAGCAAAATTAATGATCGAGATATTGAACCAGATTTTCTGAAATTTTATGTATCGAGATGTCTTAAATAATTTAAAAAAATAAAAGAAAATAAATACTTTAAATTTACATAAACATAAAGTAAAATTAACAATTAGCATACCATACCGTATGCCCGTGTATATTCATCCACATTGGTTATTATAGATCTTTTAGCCCCAATTCAAGCGGATATTTTATCTGACAATCGAAGAAACTGATTTGTTAATAGAAACAATACGACCAGCCTTGTTTTTTGGAATTACCTTTCAATGTTATATTATTCATACAGGAAACGTAATTATCATTATTTACTTCTTCTATTTCATTATCGGTGTATTTTCGTTTAAATCAAAAATCTACGGCAATAATGTAATTAAAAAACAATACTTTGCATATTTTTTTCGTTGATAAACTGTCTTATCAACAAAATTATTTATACTGCTGCCGATGATTTCTTATCATAGCAAAAAAAAAATAAAAAAAATAATATTTCTTTTTGACGCGTTCTACTAAAATACGCAACAAACTTTTATACACGTCACGTAAAATCAAGAGCCGAATAATTTGGGTCAATAATACAAATCATGTGACTAATCTAGATTTTGATTTTTTCATAAAAATGTCGTCTTCATAAAAAAAGATGATCCGTGTTTTGTTTTCCATGTTTTTTCCGTGAAGGGCTCATTTTCACGGAATTTTTACAGAGATATTCAGGCAAAATTTTTTATAGGATTTTCTCACTCAGTCTCTCGGTCTCTGAGTCTTTTTACGGAAATACTCATCCATCAGCATTATGTATAATTATGACAAAATATATCTCATCAACTTCCAAACATGATAAATATTCTTCGGATCTACGATTAACCAAGGAAATGATTCAGGCCCATAGATGTTCCAACCTGAAAATAGGAAGATTTAAAGTATTTAAAGGTGAGCTTTCAACACGAAGACAGTGTCCTCCCTAAAGTTATTGGTACGAATTACGCTTTAATAATTCTTTTAATGAACCTCATACTAAGAAACCTAATACTTATAATATATAAATATTTTTTTAGAAGCAAATTTTCACAATATTTGCTCACCGGAATAACTCGGAGTATTTTATAAAATAGAAGTCTTACTGAAAAAAAACTTGGCGAAATTTTGGATAATACTGTCAAAAAATTCGTAGTTGCTTTGTATGACGTTACTCGGCCCTCGGAAATTAAAGAATGACAGATTTGTAGGAGCTTTATTAACATTCGCCATTAAAATATTCAAAATGAAATTGTATCCCTTTATTTTCAGGTGAGCAATGATGAGGAAGGTTTTTTGTTTTGTGATTCATTCCATTGTGGTTCCACTTTCTTAGAATTTTACTTAATATCCGAATTTTAGTTCGCATCCGCGAATTAAATTAGATATAGCAAGCAAGCAAGATACATATGACAATAATACCTGATTATGTGATGTATAAAGACGTTATTACTTGGCTTATTATAAAGGTTTGTAATTTTTAATTTTATTAAATCTTTTACATTTTTTAGTTGTCTCAATCAACTTTCTCTTTCACAGAATATACATTGGATAACAGTAATCTTAACAGTAAGAATATTATGCTGTGCACAACTTGCTGTTGAGATCCTGGCGAATGTTAGTGAAAGTTACCTTTAATCTATTTGTAAAACTAATTAATGGCTGATCAAGCAATTCGCGTCATCTTCACGAAATTTACATTTACAAAACTGTAATCCCTAAAGTATATCTGGAGGAACTTAAATACGGCAGGAACAGTCTGTCTTAATTAAATGGTAGCCTGAGAATGAAGAACCAGTGGCTGGTAGGGATCGTATCGGCTCAAAATGAGTTCTGGAACCGATTCTAAATTTAGCAGATTCTGAATCTCCTGAATTTGAACAAACGCAGGAACTGACGCTCAAATCAGTTTGTCATCAAAATTATGACGATACAAACAAATATTGAACTTTATCTTCATCATATGTTCTACCTGTGTTTTAAATTTGACGCATGTAGCTCATATTTTACTAAAGAAGAACCGAAACGAAGCGGAGCCGATGAAGAACCGAAACAGAACCGACGAACCGGCGAGCCGATCCCCATCCCTTGTGGCTGGTCTTGATATTGCAGAACCGAATGATAGAAATACCATTTTAACAGCATTATCGAAAATTCGTCAGTTGTAATAGACTTATTGGCATTCGCGCTCTTTCATGGAATCAAAACGCTTGAGTCTTTTTAATGCATCATATATATATTCAGTGGTGAATATATTTCCAAATTCTATAATAAAAAATGAATTAAAAACTTATCTGCTGCGTTAAAAATCTTTAATATTGGTTAATTAAATATTTAGAAATTTTAATAAAATTTATTTGAAAAGATTATTTGTCTTTATTTTAAGTTGGTCAATTGCTTTATCCGCCGGCAATAGTTATATCTTCATAGATCAATTCCAGAAATAAATATAATATATCAATGATATAATATAACAAAACGATTTCGAGCACATTATTAATTAGCAAAAGATTAAAGAACTTATTATCATTGAAAAAAATGATTTGAAAATTGGTGATTTGTGCTTGGCACATTTATGTGTTAAGATGCCGGGTATATATGTCGATAAAATCTTGGAAATTTTAACATAGTCACCAATTTAATACTCGGCTAGATT